AGTATGATATTAGGAGTGTGATTTGGTTTTGAAGAGTCTTTTTCTCAAAAACGGGTTCATTTAAATAAGATAACGAAGGAATACCTTAGTCAAAATATCTTCCTTCGTTTTTTACAACTTTTCCCCATCTTTCTGGCAAGAGACGTATTCCGCGACGATAAAAAGGTTCTTCTTTAGAGTCGATCCAATTTTCAACAAATCTTCGCACAAGTTTCAAGTTATGAAAGTGTGTACCCTCTAGAGAACATGTTGCATCGACCGGAACAAGTGATAATTGGATGGAGCAATGTCTGGAGAATATGCAGGATGTGGTAAGACTTCCCACTCCAGCTCTAATAGCGTTTGCTTCACTGATAATGCAACATGGGGTCGAGCATTGTCGTGAAGAAGGATTACTTTGCGTCGTTTACTCGCAATTGGTGATCATTTTTGGTCCAATGCTCGCTTAAATTTGTATAATTATTGTCGATAACGATCAGCGGTGACAGTTTCATTCGGATTTAACAGTCCATAGTACACAATATCTTTTCGATCCCACCAAATATACAGCGATATCTTTAAGCCGTGAATATTGCGCATCGAAGTGGATGTTGCTGGTTGGATTGGATCAACCCATGATTTTTTCATTCAGGATTATCGAAATAGATCCGTTTTTCATCCTCAGTAACAATTCGATACAAAAATCTCTTCATTTTTTGTCTGGCGATCAACAAAACGCAAATGTTCAACCGGTTCGCAATGGCATTTTCCGATGATTGATGTGGAAGCCATTTTCCTTCATTGTGAGTCTTTCCCATATCATGTAAACGTTTAGCAACTGTTGTACAATCAACACTTAATATTCTGACAAGTTCTGAAGTGAATCGTGCTAGATTTTCGTTCAATAATGCCTGCGAATCTGCATTTTCAAGCGTTTTTGCTTGTTCCGATATTTGTCGTTAACATTCATCACTTTTGAATCGTCTAAACCAATATTTATATGTCTCAATTGATGAAGCAACATCACCCGTAAGTTTTCCACCACTGAATTCTATAACCTTCAGCCGTTGTTTTCTTCTGATTAAAAAATAAAAACAACGCATATCGAAGATATTTTTTAGGAAGCTCCATTTTTAAAATGGATATCAAAACGATTTTTACTGCGTCTATTGTTAGTAAATGACTAAATATCATGGGTTAATATTAAGAAACAATAGCTGTGATTGGAATGTCTTCGAGAAAGGTGAGGTTAGTGCCATCTCTTGCAATACTCTCAAAACTAAATCACACTCTTAATAGTAACATAATAAATAATACAAAAATAAACAGCGTAATGATAAAATTGATATAGCCGAGAATTGTTATGTATGAATGTATTTGTTTATCAATATTGTCTGTATTCAACAATTGTAACGCAAACAGGTTCATCAACATTTGAAAGAAGCGACTAAAAATTCGATTCTTTCCTGCTTGAGTTTTGTATGAAACGCGATTGAGTTCTCCATTAAGATAACTAAGCTATCTGCGAGTAACGTTATCACTAAACGTTCGTGAAAATTACGTCAATAAAAAAAAGAAACGAATAATTAAGTTTCTTTAATTCTTTGGCAACAAAATATTTTCCCAAGTAGCAAGATGACATTTAAAGATCTCATTATGCGTCATTAAGACGTTTTTAACGTCATTATAACGTCATTTTGCTACCTGGGTTATCTTCTAAAGAAACAAGATAAATGAAATTAAGTGGCGTTAATATCTGGCATTAAATTTATCAATCGAATTTGGAACGCTCCGATCGCCTTTGCAAAAGGTTGATTATCCAGGGGTAAACGAAACAACATCGATGAACGAATACCGGTCATAAGTAAGAAATGATTTGCACAAAGATCGATTTCTGGAGTGCGTCTGGCAAGTACGTCTTCGACACACTTGTGAGGGCAACAAGCTGCTTTGCAGCTGTTGTAAAATCCGCAAGTCTGTTTGGTTAGACTCGGCCAGAGGATCGAGAACACGCGACAGTCGGAGATGTGCGAATTTTGCGACAGCTCCAAGCGGCATTTTTCGCCGATGGGGGGCGGCGCAGCCCTTCGTGCGTGTCGCCCGCTGCAAAATTCGGTATAATATTGTAGGAAAATAAAAAAAGAAATATATTTTCTTTATATGGAGTACAGAAGCGACAGAGGACGGGGCAACGCTAAAGTTACGTCTGTCTCTTCTCTTCAAACAAAATTGCGCACCTCAGCGCCACCGCGGCGACTTCTCCAAAACACGAAGCAAGGACGAAATCAACCATAGACTTCTATATATAAGCTAGACTGAGAACTTCCATTGGTTTTCATGTATAAAAGTGACTCTTATGTAAAATATAAAATCGTGTTCACATGCATGTTGCAAGATCCCGTTAGTATTCTATATATTGAATAAACATTGAATGTGACGTTGCAAGAGGAAATATTAAATATATAAATATTAACATTTTTTGGAATAAAAATGCCTGTACGGTGCAGTTAGATTCCTTTCGGGATTTTGCAATGCGCATGTGCAGAATTTTAATACCTATTTTTAAGGGACATGTTAAAGAGACCAGTTATCGGTCTAGTGCAAGGTTTCCCAACCTTTTTTGTATTTTGCATCCTTAAAAATTTATTGACCTTCGCACCCCCTACAAAAAAATCATTCATATGTTTTATGATAAAAATTAGATGTTAGGGTTTTAAGATAAGAATTTAATTTATAATGATTTATTATTACATAGTATTGTTTTATAGAAATTAACTATCATTTTAATATTATAAATTATTATCCATGGTATTAAGCTTCGCGTAGTGATATATAATGAATATATATGAGCGTAAAGAATACGTACGTAAAAAATATATAATTTTAGTAACATTTTTTTAATTTGATGGTAAAAATGCCGGATTATTCCAGAATTCATCTTAATCATTATCAATTACCATCAATTTTTCCTCACATCCCCAAGAATGTTCGTTCGCACCCCCAGATGGTGCGAGCATCCCTGATTGAGGACCCCTGGTCTAATCTATAATATAGAAGTCTATGGAACCAACCGTCACAGCGCTCGCTTTAGCGCGCAAGAAAGATCTTCCAATAATATAAAATAAATGAAATCTTGCTACTTCCTACAACATTATCGAGTGACTGCATGGCGTGTGTGTGCGTGCGTCAATCGTCACGCGGACGACACGAGGAACTTCTCTCGAGGAAGACTCGTGACTCGCACGTATCAGTGATTCTCTTCGCGAGTGTGAGACCCTTGAATCGCGCCGTCCAAAGCGAGGAAGGACGTTGCTCGAAGTTGAAAAATTCGATCGCCAAGTTTCGACGCGGTGTAAAATATGAGCGGAGCGCGACGACGACGCCGACGCCGACGCCGTCGTCGTCGTCCTCTTCATCGTCGTTGCCGTCGTCGCGGCCGCGAGTGTCGTCACGGCGGACTCGACCTTGGCGGTGGCACGCGGAGCGTAAAGTCCGCTCCTCTCGTGGCTCGGCGTCCCTTGCCAATTATTTCGGTTATTCCGGTACGTACGCGCGGCCGAATGTCGGTCGGTCGGTCGGTCGCACTTTTTTCCCCATCAGTCAAACGCGCTCACGTCGCATATCGACAGCGGCGTTGCGCAAAGGGGAGCTTTCGCAAATCCGTCCGGACGAAGAGCGAGAGGTCGTCGTTAGGTTGCTGCAACTACGTCGCGCGGTCTGTCAAACGCCGCGCATAGTGAGGCCAGATGATATTTTTTTGGTTCAAACAGTTCTCTAGAGAACTGAATTTCCAATCGATCATCGACACACCGATGGATGAGGTTGATCCTGAATAAATTCCAAAGAGATCTGTCTAGCCGAGATCTTTTGAAAAAAATTATTGGTTCAGGGTTCGTGGGTTTTCAGGGTTTGTCTTAAAAGTTTCGAGGCTCGAACTTAATGTTTTATAGCTGAATATTATTCAACGTCGAGTATTATTAGGTTCTCGAGCTATGGCTAGATTGGGTTCTTGGATTATTTGGGGCTCTTAATGTATGTACGGCTTCGTGCATCCACGAGCTAAAAAGTTCGCGGATTGACAGATTCCTAGGTTGATGGGCTTAAGACTCAAAATCCCTCGGTTTTGTCTATATTTCATGTTTTTGTATTTCGGGCACACGAGTTTTGGGTTAATGGGTTTCTGCTTCAGAATCGATAAATCTCAAAGTGTCTGTTGATTGCTTTCATAGTTTCAATCCGCTGAATACGCTATTAGATAGAAATAAATGTCGAATAATGAGTGTTTCACAAGTTTCTCGCGTTTAACGATAATTTTTCCTCTCTTGGGGCTAGAAATCCGAGAAAAAACATTTTTTTTTTAATTGTGCCAAGACAGATCTCTTGGGAATTCATTCAGGATCAATCTCATCCATTGATGTGTCGATCGGTTGGGAATTCAGGTCTCTACAGAATTTTCAAGCAAAAACTGTCATCTGGCCCCACTGTGTGCGCCGCCTCGCTCTTCCCGGCCAGGCTTGGCATGGAATGACGCGAAGGAAATACCGCGCGACCTGCGTGACATAACGCGCTGCGCCGCGCCGCGCCGCGGTGGCGGCTTTATATATGCATGAAGCTCCCGAGAAATGATCTCGGGGCACGTTCGTCGCACGTGCGAGCGAGCGACTTCGGCGGCGCCACGTCGAGCAGGTCGCTTTGATTCGTCGCGTCTATTCAGATGGGAAAGACATTGAATAGACATATGTCGCGCGCGGGCAAATTGGCATCGGCCGCGCGACTTTCGGCTATTACCTGTCGCGACCGCCGAGGGCTCTCTCGCCGTTGTTGGGAGTCGCGCGAGTGCAGCGAGGGGGGACGCAGGTAGCCCGGAGAAGAGAGGAGAGGAAAAGAAAAGAAAAGAAAAGAAACGAACGATCGGGTGGTCGCGCGCGCGAGCCGCAGGATTTCGCGACACCCTGTGAACGTGGGGGTGTGTATCGTTGCTCGTGCCGCCATTGATGTGTGTGATCTCGTCTCTGTTGCAGTTTCCTGGTGAGTGCATCCTCACATACATGGAGTTTCAGTTGGATAGCGCAGAATACTGCCAGGCTCAACACAAATAGAGAGATACGCCCGCACTCTCGCTGAGGACTATTAGGTACTGTTGAAGCGAGCAGAGGGAGGGTTATAGACACGTCTCGGAGAGAGAAGAAAGGTGGACACACGTTGAAGTAGAGAATTATCACACACACATACACACACACACTCACTCACTCATTCACTCACTCATTCATTCACTCACTTACACACACACACACACACATATACACACGGACACACGCTCTCACATACACAGCCGGGGGGAGCTGGAAACAGAAAAGGCATCAACTAGTCATCACGCAAGGCGTAGGAGAATTTTAATAGAAACAATTATTAATTTACATTAGTAGATGCAAGCATCGTAGTTACTGAGCGCACCTGTCACACGGGAGCACCCAGTGCCAAATAGGTGAGTGAGGGTATCCTCGTCGTCTCCGAGGAGACTGAGCTCCGTTTTGAGAGATACGAGGAGAGATTAGCGGCGCCGTTATCTCGCTCTCGACGTGTCGAGAGCATTGAGAAAGTAAGAGCGCGGCTCACTCCGCGGCGTGTAACCGCGTTGTTCTTCTTTCAGATAATCTTCCGAGTCATAGTCGAAAGTCTCTCAAGTGGGAAAGAGTAAAGCGCATATCAACACCGCCTAATGTAACGTAGCCCTTACCCTTTCGGCGAGATTCGCATCCCGACAACCTCTCTCGAAGTCTACATGTAAACCCACGGTTCTGTCCTCTGTAAAAAAATAAGGGATAATTCTTATTAGTTAAATGAGAAGCAACTTTATAAGACTGACATTTAATGGGCTAAGTTGTCAAATCCAGCCTTTGTCGCTTCGTATAGTGTGGCACACGTACGAGACTCGAAGAGACAAGTTCTAAGATCTTTTAAGAGTTAACAACAATAAGGGGAGATAGATATATTATACAACCATCTGCCGTTAAGAAGGAAATGAGCAACATGAGGGTGAAGGATATCAGGCCGGCGCCCGCCGAAATTGAATACAAAAACATGAAGTTCCTCATCACCGATCGGCCCAATGATCAAACCATCCATACTTTTATTCAAGTAAGTCAGCCCCCTCTCCGCGGGAACGCTTTCGTTCTCAGGACTATACAACAAACTATATAACGTTGTCTGTCTTCTCCACAGGAACTGAAAAAGCACAATGTGAAGGAGGTGGTGAGAGTCTGCGAACCAACGTACAAAGTCGAAGAACTTAAGTCGGAAGGGATCAATGTGATAGATTTGGTGTTTGATGACGGTACATTCCCGCCTAACGAGGTAACGTATTCTTATACGCGTATGAGAGAGGGGAAGTGAGAGAGAGAGAGAGAGAGAGAGAGAGAGAGAGAGAGAGAGAGAGAGAGAGAGAGAGAGAGAGAGAGAAAGAGAAAGAGACAAAGAGATCAACACTTCAACTTGCCAAAACATTTCAGGTGGTGGATGAATGGTTCGAATTGCTGAAAAATCGATTCCGGGAATCGCCTGACGCGTGTGTAGCAGTACACTGCGTCGCGGGTCTCGGCAGAGCACCAGTCCTGGTAGCGGTGGCTCTCATTGAACTCGGGCTTAAGTTCGAAGATGCCGTTGCCCTAATCAGGGAGTAAATAGCTTTTGCACATCTTTGTCGTCCACGCACATTGGACTCTGTCTACTAGGCGCGCGCGGATTAATCACCTTGTGTGTGTGTGTGTGTGTTTCCAGGAAAAGACGAGGCGCCATAAACGCGAAGCAGTTGACTTTCCTTGAGAAGTATCGTCCCAAGTCTCGATTGAAGATTAAGAACGGGCAGAAGAACTCCTGCTGCATCCAGTAGACGGAAGGATCTCTCTTCGAAGAGCGGAAGACAGAAAAGTCACTAATTCACGATTGATATAGGTTTTGACGTCTGGCAACAAAAACCGGTATATTGTAGCGAATCTGTTTTGAATGGCCTATCAATGGAAATGCAACCGTGATGAAGAACTGCAACTTGCCAGTTGCGAACAACCAGCCGCAATTTTGAGGCACATTCTGTCTGTCCAATTATGTATCTTGAGACGAGCCGTTAACACGTGAATTGCTTCAAATTGTTGCTGTGTTTCCTTTTATGAAAAACCTGTATTTATTTTTGATACTTAATCGATATTGATCGTAATAAGACAGAAGTTAAGCTTTAAAACTGTGTAATAACTATTAACTTTAAAATATTCGCCAGTCATTATTATTGCTACTCTCGCTCGCTCGTGCGTAAAATACGAATCGCGACACCAGATTTTTACTCACACGCATTGTTCATTATACGCTTCCCCTCCAATGTGGCGAACGAAAAGTTCATTGTGTAAATCATCGTTGCAAGCTTGTGATCGATTTATATTGGAGAAATTTCAATCATAACTATATTGTAAACGGCTAATATATGTGATGTACGAATCGCGGCTCTTCGCTTAATTTTTCTTTTTCATCTTTTTATCATCATCGATAATTATACATTGTGTTTGAGGAAGTAGGAAATGTAGGATATTTCTAATTTGTAGGATTTTTAACAAACCGTTAGAAAATTACTGTTAAGATTACATTGAGTGATTACGGTCTACATTTCCAGATAAGCGTAGCCAAGAGACAAATACCCCATTATGAGGAAACCATAGAATTCTTTTTCTTTTTACAAAGCATGTGCAAAAATGACTCAAAGACATCCGAAGTGGAACGTTAGACTCGAATTTCTTTTTCGTCTCAAAAAAAAGGGGGGGAGTACATCTTGACTACCTGATCACTCTTTGGAAGCGTCTTATAAAAATCTATTTTTTACAAAATATGTTTAGAATAAAAAGGAGCTATATATGTATACATGCGCATTTTTTTAAATGTCTAACATATGTATGGTTTTGATATAACGTATCGGTCGCAGCTTTGTAAGACGAACGGACACGATCGATGTCACAATTATTTTTACGATGAATCAGGATCAGCCTCACAGCAACGAGGAGTTGTGAATCTTGCGATGTAAACATGCGCTGTGCCAAGTGCTGGGTGCTAAGTTTGCGAAACGCGTGACATTGCAAATCTGCCGAAAATTTCTTTTTTTTTTTTTTTGCCGCTCCTGCGAGTGGTCACGAGGTTGAGTCCACGGCTAATATTAACTTTTGTCAACACAATACAAATTGCAGAGAGAGAAACACAGTCGATGCTTGGTTTACTTGTATACATACACACACGTGTAGATATAGATACGTACATCTGTCAAAACAAATGTACTTTTCCTTTTTTAATATTCTCGAATACACGCGAATTGTAGTAGCGAGGCGCGTTTTTCAGATCTTTCGAAAATATAACTCGCGCGAGCGTTCTTTAAAGATTCGTCCACAGATTTAAAGAACGCACGAAGAGAACGCGTTGTCACGTGCGTGTATTGCGTTGCATTTCCAATGGCATGCCGAACCGCTGATGGATGTTCTTAACTCTTATTGGACTTGGAATCTGCGTTAACTTGAACGACGAGCACACGAATAACTCGAGAATAATGAGAAACTAACGCGAGGTAAAAAAAAAAAGAAAAAAAAACAGAAAAGAAAAAAGAATCACACTCCAGAGTTGTATATCACGTTTATCGTAGCTCAACGACAATTTCACCAAAATGTTTGCATATCTATTATATATGAACTTTTTAGTGCGGAAACAAAGGGATAGATTTTTCAATCTGACACAAGCATTTTATGTGAAAGCCATCGTCGTCTTCTATTTTGGTAAAATTGTCAATGACGCTATACGCCACACTAAACTGTGTTCAAAGGATAGAAAAAGAAATTCACTCGTAAACTAATAACGAATATAATAACTTAGAAAACATTTCGCCCGGCGTCTGCCGATTTCACGTGAATGTACGCACTTTGTAAACGAACCGATGCGCCGCCGCCATCTTCGCTTCCGACTGTCTCTCGCGCCGTCCGACAACAATAGACACGCGCCGAAAATGGTTTCTCCGACGATTACGCGGCGATGATCAAGCTTTGCTTTTGCGTACACACATACATACACCATGCTATGTTCGACCCCAACCGTGTTGAATCGTCGCGGTTACCGGCACCGGCGCGCGGTCGTATCTCCAGAGCGCAGCGACTCATCGTCGTCGTCGCATTATTTTCTTTTGACCGGCAATATTCACCTTTTATTCCGCAAGACACGACCGATCGACGTTCAGTTATCCGGTGGACAGCGAGCAATCCATCTCTCCTCCGCAAAAGCGCCTTTTCCGATTGCCGTGCGTGTGTTTTTATAACGGGTGACGACACACGATTGTGTATACAACGGAGTACATTCACGCGCTACGATCGCAGATACTCGGATTGAAATCTAAATCTGGTACATCTCCTTTTTTGTAATATTAAAAAATTGCAATATTTTTTACCAGAGGATGGGACGAGGGGATATTCGTAGAAAAGAAAAAAAGATGATCCAACCTTAGATACAAAAGTAACATTACTCTTTATTATTCACTCCTAATTTAATTACGATAATTAAAAAGCAATTGGACACGCGCGTCTTCTTTTCCGATATATCGAGCTCCCCCCTTTTTCAAACAGGCACGCCCCGACATCGTGCGGGAGGGTAGGCGTGGCCTCGAAAGAGACAAGTTACCATGCAATGATTTTCATCATTTAGCTATTGCTTTTGCACACATCGATTCACTTCTTCAAGACGTGTAGTTAATCCGATAAATAACTATAAATGTAAAATGTCTTCTTTTTTTTCTCTCTCCTCTTCTCTTTTCTTTCATATCTGTGATAGGTTTTTCCTCGTGTGCATAAAGAAGGCGCAGACTGAGAGAAATAGTGTAGAGCGACAATTGCGATGTTGAAACTACTGTGATGCTAAGTGTAAATGCTTGCGCGGTCTCCTGTGTAGAAAATTATGCACGTTGCTGTTTCGTTCGGAAAGTTGAATGTTAAATTGCAATTTAACAGGTTGAAAAATCACATACTTGTGCAATAATGCTATTTATAAACGATATACATACGAGAGCGTGGAATGTTGTTTCTCTCGAAGAAATGAATCGAATCGCTGCTGCAAAAACGTTAACAATCGCTCGAAGAAACGTAATTGCATAAATGAATCTTTCTTTTCTCAATAGCTACTTGATGATCTCGATAATACGATAATTTTACGCGCCGATAAAAACCTTTTTGCGTTTAATTACACGTTCAATGTGAATATTCGAAGCAAGAACAATTTAGATAGCAAAGAAATCCTCTATTTTGAACCGACGTAATAAAATAAGAACAATCACTCCCTACAAATTGATTATACAAAAGAAAAGAAAAAAAAAAAGGAATAAAAGTAACGAGTTAGCGCAATTTAAATGAACGTTGCTTTACTGTTTTAATTTCACGATGCAATTTCTCCTATACCCATTACTACTACGATTTACCTTTAATTAAATTTAACAAACGCTCGTTTTATTACATTGTAAATGTCAGTGATGAAATAAAACAGAAAGGAAGTTGTTTTTTTTTGTGAGAAAATAAAGAACGATGTTTTATAACGATTCTTATACTCTGATGTATGCTGTGAAAATAAAGTTTCTAATTTTATTTCAGCGAAACAAGTATAGCGCGCGCATCTTATTCTCTCATACAATCAAGATACGTACATTCGTCGCCGCAGAATATTGGGTATGCATGTACACGCACCAGACGTATTTGTAGTTTACTTCTCCGGGTTCATTTCGTGTGCAGTTTTATTTGTCTACATAAACATATCGCCGAAGAATCGCGGAGGTCGCATGTGATCGTCTCCGGGTCTGTGACGAGGTGGCCTTATCGGGTCCAGATCAGGCGGGCCGAACGGATCGAATCTCGCACCAGGTGGCACCGCACCTCTAAGAGGAAATACATGTGCGGTCTAAATGAAGCTTCCATATCCAAATTCGAAATGTCAAGTCAGGTCTACATACACCGGCAATCTCCCAGGAACTCCTAGAGGATCGTGCAAATCAGCAGGTGTACGTCTTTGGAAAGGATCAAAAATCATACCGCCGCCGTTTCCACCTGGATACAGATCAGAGACACCGATAGTTCCAGGTTCAGGTGGACTACAAGGAATGAATTAGACCACTTTATATCGTAGAATTATTGCAAAATTGTACCCATTAATTGAACAATGATACCATTGTTAAAGTTAACATTGGTAAGGTTAACATTGTTCAATTTACAAAAGTAAATGTAATTCTGTATTTGAAAAAATCAATATAGCTGTGTTTTAAATTGAGATTATACCAGATTCATAATATATAACTGGAGAATCAAGAAGTATCAACTTAAGCGCAAGCATTAATTTAATGTCAAACTAAGCGCAAGCTTAATTTAATGTCATTACCGCTGTACAGGCTGTATTGGCTGCCGCCAATCGAGTTCCCGTGGATTTCGAATTCTTGACGACAATGAAAAATCCACAACCTCGCCTGTGTTTGTTTGGGTTGCTGTTTCCACAGTATTTTCCAAATCAGTCAGCGTCAATTTACATACTGGTTTCAAAAATTCATTGCGTAACTGATGCAACAGTGCTTCATAACATGGTATCATAGTTTCTAGAGATCCATCTAGTGTAGTTACAGTTTTGTCAATTGGGAATGCAGTGTTGGAAATAGTATCATTGTCAAGTTTCTGCAAGAATAATATCAAGTAACATAACATACTACAGATACAAAACACATAATTGCCATAGACTTGGTGGTAAATTAATCTCAATTTTATCATAAAGTTATTGCAAATTACCGCGAGATTTATAAGTATTTCATCGTCTGATTTGATCCCACAGAGTAAATACAATGTATTATTTTTGACATAACGTAACGCATAGCTGGGACCAGTGTTCCACTCTTTTGGAAGTAATTCTGATCCCTTGTCTGACATGTTAAAAACATTCTGCAAAATACACATTCAGATATTACTTTTACAAAATAACTGATATTTATAGCAGGTTAGAGTCACTTAAAACATTAAAATTATTCTACAATACGTGTTGAAAGCTGTAAGCCGTACGAACTGACCAATTATAGCCGATTATTTTTGTAATAATCGACTGTGATTCGCCAATTCTTACGGCTTACAACTTACGACACATATCGTGGAATGACCTTTAAGAAAACATGGTATGAGTATGAGAAAACATGGTATAAATAGCAGAAAAAAAGCATGAAAGAGGATACTTTAGATAGAAACATAGTAATGGGAAGGTATAACGTAAACTATCAATTTTATTATGAGATGTGATTTTAACAACGTTTTAATCTATCTCGAAACTCACATTATCTCCGATGCCAATACAACGAAGTCCACACTTGACCAAGTACCAATGCACAAATAAGATTAATATGTCTTCTTTTTTCTGGATCTCATTATGATACAATTTATGAAAGGCCTCAAAGCCAAATGTATCATTCACGTTTGCCATTATGACTGAATGTGACTCTCACTGAAAGATTAGTTGCAAATTTTCCGAGTATACGCCATTATTACTGAGCTCTCATACTGCGTTCCAAAATGCATTGACAGTACTAAAGTCAGCGGCACACAGTGGTTGCGTTCAGAAAACTAAGCGCTCACTGAGCGCTTAGGAACTATTGGTCCTTAAGCCAGCGGCACACGGTGCTTGTTTTCGTGCTAGATTGCTTGCTGGATGAAAATACTGCGTTGTGATTGGTGCATTTCCATCCATCTTCGGAAATGTACCAATCAGAACGCAATATTCTCATCTAGCAAGCAATCCAGCACGAAAACAAGCACCGTGTGCCGCTGGCTTTAGATCCTTACATTCAGACCAATAATGTTGACGAATTACTTTAACCTTCGATATCTCCTAAACGGTTAGAGATACAGGCCTGGTTCTGGCACCAAATTAAAGTCCTCTCAAAACCCTACATTTTGCCGTAAGTGACGACTCTCTACTCCCAGTAGAAGCGGAGATATCGACGGAGAAAGCTTGGAAAACTTTAGCCTTCGATATCTCCTAAACGGTTAGAGATACAGACCTGGTTCTGGCACCAAATTAAAGTCCTCTCAAAACCCTACATTTTGCCGTAAGTGACGACTCTCTACTCCCAGTAGAAGCGGAGATATCCACGGAGAAAGCTTGGAAAATTTTAACCTTCGATATCTCCTAAACGGTTAGAGATACAGGCTTCGGACAGGTACCAAATTAAAGCCCTTTCAAAACCCTACATTTTGGACTACATGGACGACCCTCTACTCCCAGTAGAAGCGGAGATATCGACGGAGAAAGGTTGGAAAACTTTAACTTCATATCTCTAAACGTTAGAGATACAGCTTCGGACAGGTACCAATAAAGCATTTCAAAACTAATTTTACTACAGGACGACTCCTACTCCCAGTAGAAGCGGAGATATCGACGGATGAAGACGGTTGACGAAAGGTTGGAAAACTTTAACCTTCGATATCTCCTAAACGGTTAGAGATACAGGCTTCGGACAGGTACCAAATTAAAGCCCTTTCAAAACCCTACATTTTGGACTACATGGACGACTCTCTACTCCCAGTAGAAGCGGAGATATCGACGGATGAAGACTGGATACGACGGAGAAAGGTTGGAAAACTTTAACCTTCGATATCTCCTAAACGGTTAGAGATACAGGCTTCGGACAGGTACCAAATTAAAGCCCTTTCAAAACCCTACATTTTGCACTACATGGACGACTCTCTACTCCCAGTAGAAGCGGAGATATCGACGGAGAAAGGTGGAAAACTTTAACCTTCGATATCTCCTAAACGGTTAGAGATACAGGCTTCGGACAGGTACCAAATTAAAGCCCTTTCAAAACCCTACATTTTGGACTACATGGACGACCTCTACTCCCAGTAGAAGCGGAGATATCGACGGATGAAGGATGGATATCGACGGAGAAAGGTTGGAAAACTTTAACCTTCGATATCTCCTAAACGGTTAGAGATACAGGCTTCGGACAGGTACCAAATTAAAGCCCTTTCAAAACCCTACATTTTGCACTACATGGACGACTCTCTACTCCCAGTAGAAGCGGAGATATCGACGGAGAAAGGTTGGAAAATTTTAACCTTCGATATCTCCTAAACGGTTAGAGATACAGGCTTCGGACAGGTACCAAATTAAAGCCCTTTCAAAACCCTACATTTTTGGACTACATGGACGACTCTCTACTCCCAGTAGAAGCGGAGATATCGACGGATGAAGACTGGATATCGACGGAGAAAGGTTGGAAAACTTTAACCTTCGATATCTCCTAAACGGTTAGAGATACAGGCTTCGGACAGGTACCAAATTAAAGCCCTTTCAAAACCCTACATTTTGCCGTAAGTGACGACTCTCTACTCCCAGTAGAAGCGGAGATATCGACGGAGAAAGGTTGGAAAACTTTAACCTTCGATATCTCCTAAACGGTTAGAGATACAGGCTTCGGACAGTACCAAATTAAAGCCCTTTCAAAACCCTACATTTTGGACTACATGGACGACTCTCTACTTCCAGTAGAAGCGGAGATATCGACGGATGAAGACTGGATATCGACGAAGAAAGGTTGGAAAACTTTAACCTTCGATATCTCCTAAACGGTTAGAGATACAGGCTTCGGACAGGTACCAAATTAAAGCACTTTCAAAACCCTACATTTTGCACTACATGGACGACTCTCTACTCCCAGTAGAAGCGGAGATATCGACGGAGAAAGGTTGGAAAACTTTAACCTTCGATATCTCCTAAACGGTTAGAGATACAGGCTTCGGACATGTACCAAATTAAAGCCCTTTCAAAACCCTACATTTTGGACTACATGGACGACTCTCTACTCCCAGTAGAAGCGGAGAAATCGACGGATGAAGACTGGATATCGACGGAGAAAGGTTGGAAAACTTTAACCTTCGATATCTCCTAAACGGTTAGAGATACAGGCTTCGGACAGGTACCAAATTAAGCCCTTTCAAAACCCTACATTTTGCACTACATGGACGACCCTCTTCTCCCAGTAGAAGCGGAGATATCGACGGATGAAGACTGGATATCGACGGAGAAATGTTGCAAAACTTTAACCTTCGATATCTCCTAAACGGTTAGAGATACAGGCTTCGGACAGGTACCAAATTAAAGCCCATTCAAACCCTACATTTTGGACTACATGGACGACTCTCTACTCCCAGTAGAAGCGGAGATATCGACGGATGAAGTGGATATCGACGGAGAAAGGTTGGAAAACTTTAACCTTCGATATCTCCTAAACGGTTAGAGATACAGGCTTCGGACAGGTACCAAATTAAAGCCCTTTCAAAACCCTACATTTTGGACTACATGGACGACTCTCTACTCCCAGTAGAAGCGGAGATATCGACGAGGAGAAAGGTTGGAAAACTTTAACCTTCGATATCTCCTAAACGGTTAGAGATACAGGCTTCGGACAGGTACCAAATTAAAGCCCTTTCAAAACCCTACATTTTGGACTACATGGACGACCTCTACTCCCAGTAGAAGCGGAGATATCGACGATGAAGGCTGGATATCGACGGAGAAAGGTTGGAAAACTTTAACCTTCGATATCTCCTAAACGGTTAGAGATACAGGCTTCGGACAGGTACCAAATTAAAGCCCTTTCAAAACCCTACATTTTGGACTACATGGACGACTCTCTACTCCCAGTAGAAGCGGAGATATCGACGGAGAAAGGTTGGAAAACTTTAACCTTCGATATCTCCTAAACGGTTAGAGATACAGGCTTCGGACAGGTACCAAATTAAAGCCCTTTCAAAACCCTACATTTTGGACTACATGGACGACTCTCTACTCCCAGTAGAAGCGGAGATATCGACGGATGACTGGATATCGACGGAGAAAGGTTGGAAAACTTTAACCTTCGATATCTCCTAAACGGTTAGAGATACAGGCTTCGGACAGGTACCAAATTAAAGCCCTTTCAAAACCCTACATTTTGGACTACATGGACGACTCTCTACTCCCAGTAGAAGCGGAGATATCGACGGATGAAGACTGGATATCGACGGAGAAAGGTTGGAAAACTTTAACCTTCGATATCTCCTAAACGGTTAGAGATACAGGCTTCGGACAGGTACCAAATTAAAGCCCTTTCAAAACCCTACATTTTGGACTACATGGACGACTCTCTACTCCCAGTAGAAGCGGAGATATCGACGGATGAAGATGGATATCGACGAGAAAGGTTGGAAAACTTTAACCTTCGATATCTCCTAAACGGTTAGAGATACAGGCTTCGGACAGGTACCAAATTAAAGCCCTTTCAAAACCCTACATTTTGGACTACATGGACGACTCTCTACTCCCAGTAGAAGCGGAGATATCGACGGATGAAGGTTGGAAAACTTTAACCTTCGATATCTCCTAAACGGTTAGAGATACAGGCTTCGGACAGGTACCAAATTAAAGCCCTTTCAAAACCCTACATTTTGGACTACATGGACGACCTCTACTCCCAGTAGAAGCGGAGATATCGACGGATGAAGACTGGATATCGACGGAGAAAGTTAAACTTTAACCTTCGATATCTCCTAAACGGTTAGAGATACAGGCTTCGGACAGGTACCAAATTAAAGCCCTTTCAAAACCCTACATTTTGGACTACATGGACGACTCTCTACTCCCAGTAGAAGCGGAGATATCGACGGATGAAGGCTGGATATCGACGGAGAAAGGTTGGAAAACTTTAACCTTCGATATCTCCTAAACGGTTAGAGATACAGGCTTCGGACAGGTACCAAATTAAAGCCCTTTCAAAACCCTACATTTTGGACTACATGGACGACTCTCTACTCCCAGTAGAAGCGGAGATATCGACAAAGAAAGGTTGGAAAACTTTAACCTTCGATATCTCCTAAACGGTTAGAGATACAGGCTTCGGACAGGTACCAAATTAAAGCCCTTTCAAAACCCTACATTTTGGACTACATGGACGACCTCTACTCCCAGTAGAAGCGGAGATATCGACGGAGAAAGGTTGGAAAACTTTAACCTTCGATATCTCCTAAACGGTTAGAGATACAGGCTTCGGACAGGTACCAAATTAAAGCCCTTTCAAAACCCTACATTTTGGACTACATGGACGACTCCTACTCCCAGTAGAAGCGGAGATATCGACGGATGAAGGATGGATATCGACGGAGAAAGGTTGGAAAACTTTAACCTTCGATATCTCCTAAACGGTTAGAGATACAGGCTTCGGACAGGTACCAAATTAAAGCCCTTTCAAAACCCTACATTTTGGACTACATGGACGACTCCTACTCCCAGTAGAAGCGGAGATATCGACGGATGAAGGCTGGATATCGACGGAGAAAGGTTGGAAAACTTTAACCTTCGATATCTCCTAAACGGTTAGAGATACAGGCTTCGGACAGGTACCAAATTAAAGCCCTTTCAAAACCCTACATTTTGGACTACATGGACGACTCTCTACTCCCAGTAGAAGCGGAGATATCGACGGATGAAGATGGATATCGACGGAGAAAGGTTGGAAAACTTTAACCTTCGATATCTCCTAAACGGTTAGA